GGTTGGTTTATGCAAATCCAGTGGTTGGCATGTTCAGTAGAGAGGGGTTATATAACCTAGTCGTCAGGCATGCTCAGTACAGTGGAGTTTATCCTTTAAAGGACCTTCCACTAGGGGTGCTAGAGAGCACAGAATGTTCTTGGATATGCCTGGTGCATGTAATGGGATTTGACCAGTGAACATGCTCCAAGAAGAGACCAACTGAGCATGTGCAAGACTAAGTTTACATAACTGGGAACCAACCCCTTAATTGAATATTCATTAGGTAGCGAAACTATAAAAGCTGAATCCCAACAGAAGGCGGGGCTGTTGTTCACTGTCCTTGAGCCAGCCTGGACTCTGCCTGCGGAGTGGGTATTTCTTTCTTTTTGTATCAAGCTTACTTTCAGCAAGCAGCTGCTCAGTCTCTGGAACCCGCCTGCNATGAACAGAAATACAATTTAATAAAAGCAACATTATTATGAGTGAAAAATAAGTTAAATCAATAAATCAATGTCATTTAACTCAGATACAATAAAGAACTGCACAGGCTAAAACTGAGACTTGATATATTTATGCATCTCAACATATGCTGGAGTGTTTCCATTCAAAGGTAATAACTATACTGTAACTGAAAATATCTACAAAACTGGCATACAGTAGAGAAATGCCTGTGGGAGTAGATGTAAAATCAAGAACAGAAAGGCGCTCTGGACTTTAAAGAGAGTGATCCATTATAAACAACAATTACTTAGAGAACTTTGACTAGCAAGAAAATTTGTACTAGTAAGAGTCAAGTATTAGTGAAATAGGAGGTACTCAGTTTCCCTGGGCTCAGGTTTCAGGACATGCCTCTGGGTTTCCAACCACTCCTTGAGGGCTCAGGCCCCTCCTCTAGACCATCCTCCAGAAGAAAGCTACTGTTGCCAGTTAGACCTATTTTCAGTACCAACACTGAGAGAATGAGACCACAAGGGGTTGGTTTATGCAAATCCAGTGGTTGGCATGTTCAGTAGAGAGGGGTTATATAACCTAGTTGTCAGGCATGCTCAGTACAGTGGAGTTTATCCTTTGAAGGACCTTCCACTAGGGGTGCTAGAGAGCACAGAATGTTCTTGGATATGCCTGGTGCATGTAATGGGATTTGACCAATGAACATGCTCCAAGAAGAGACCAACTGAGCATGTGCAAGACTAAGTTTACATAACTGGGAACCACCCCCTTAATTGAATATTCATTAGGTAGCGAAACTATAAAAGCTGAATCCCAACAGAAGGCGGGGCTGTTGTTCACTGTCCTTGAGCCAGCCTGCACTCTGCCTGCAGAGTGGGTATTTATTTCTTTTTGTATCAAGCTTACTTTCAGCAAGCAGCTGCTCAGTCTCTGGAACCCGCCTGCACTGTGTACTGAACTTTAAGTATGTATTTCTTACTTGTGTATTAAACTTGGTGTGAGCCCTGCTCAGTGTCTGGAGCTATGCCACACTCTCTCTGTGAAATCTGTACCTCTTATTTGTTACATTAAATCTGTTCTCACTTTCTACTGTGACTCTGCTCTTGAATTCTTTCCTGTGGTGGAGTCAAGAACCTGGTAAGAGGATGGGGTGAGTTGAAGCCAACTATTGGGCTCCCTGGTCCATACCTCTGACATCATTAGCATTAGACAAATATATAAAAAAGAAAAGAAGAAATGTTTACAAAGAACCATCAAGGATTATATTCATGTAGTGCCTGTAAACTAGATCCACTTAATTTTTGACAAGCACCTAAAATGTCTTTGAAAAAAATGAATTCTATATAACATCCTTTAAAATGTAAAACAGTTCAAAACAATCAAAAGAATATTGTTGAAGGTCAGATAAAGATACCTTACCATTCATTTCCTTGTGAAGGGTTTTCCAGTAGTACTCGAATTATGTATAATAAGCAGCTTAATAATTTGAGAGAAAAATTGAACAGCCTTATTCTTAGACCTTTAAACAAAAAACAAAAGTTTGATTTTCATTTGAATATAGTTCTCAAAATTCTAAAAAGAATTGTTAAAAATATCAACTTTAAGTACAGCACTTAAATGCTATTTAGAAACTATAGATACTATAATTGTCTAAACTCTCTGAAGTCCTTAATAGCTGAATTTTAATTATGTAAATATTGAAGCAAAACTGAGTTTGACAGAATGCATAAACTGCAAATGACAGTGAACATTATATACTGAGAGTAAATCCAGGTTTTAACATTCAGAAGCCACAAAATTTATGTCCAGTCAAGGCTGGCTCGAGTATGTCTAGAAGTTTAAATATTTTATATGCCCAGGAGTTTGGGGATAAAGTTTAGCTAATTAGAAAATCTAGCTGCTTACAAATTCACAGGATAAGTTACAAATCTTGAAACTTCAGAGTACCTTGTTGATTTTCTTATAGAGAAATTATAATTATATTTATATAATTATGTTATATATTTAATAATAATTACAGAATTATATTATTACATATATTAATTATATATTACATATTAATTATATAATTATTTATATTACACATTTATTATATTATTATACAGAGAGAGGAATCATAAAAGCATACACTGGGAAATGTACCTTCTCTCTCTCTCTCTCTCTCTCTCTCTCTCTCACACACACACACACACACACACACACACACACACACACACACACCACATGTATTTTGAGTTTGGCCAATTGAACTTTATTTTTAACTATGTTATATATAATGAAATATTAATTTTTGTGGGAATTAAGACTATGTATATGACATGTATCTTTCAAACTGTGTAGGTCACAGTTACTCAGCCTGCAATATTTATTGATAATAAAGAAGAGTAATTAAAATTAAGCAAAACATGCTTAAATTCTGATTAATAGGAACATTACCTTTCCTGCAACTATCCAGTGGTATCTGATTCATACATTATGAAAAAATTTTTGAGAAGGGCCTTTCTGTAATTATTAAATTAATAAAATCTGGAAATGAATGCCACTTTTTTTTTTTTTAGCTCTGCTGTTTGTGAGTTTACTTGTGGCAACATTTTTTAACAGTAAAAGGCCTTTCTGTAATTATTAAATTAATAAAATCTGGAAATGAATGCCACTTTTTTTTTTTTTTTTAGCTCTGCTGTTTGTGAGTTTACTTGTGGCAACATTTTTTAACAGTAAAAAGTTTAATGCTTATTAACTGCAGAATTTTTCCTAGGTGTTTATGTTAAAATGCTAAGTACATTTTATGGACTAGCTTCTTTATAACGTCTTTTAAATTATTAATGACATTGCCATGGTCTTATAGAAATGGGTCTCCATGAATGACTGCTTAGTAAAAGTCGACTGCTGATGGCTTTCAAACATCCGTCTTCTCTGGCCTGGAGAGATAGGATTGTTAATATTGAAACTGAGGAAGTTTTCTATTCAGATGATGCCCCTTTACCTATTGATGGTGGCTTCCTTGAAAATTCTAAACAACCAGATAAAAAGGGATTAGTTATTACAAGCCTTGACCATGAAGCCTAAAATACTGACATATTTATCATAGTCAGCATTTGGATAATTTTCCACAAGAAGGCTTCTCTCTTTGAACCCTGTTTACAGAGGCATAACCTAATTTAGACCACCTTAAGAGGATTCAGGGATCAAAATTAAATCTGATGCAGATCTCTCCATTTCTTGTTGACATTTTAAGCAATAATCATGTGAAAATTGCACACTAGCTTATTATAAATGGCTTTGAAAATTATGTAGTATTATGGGGAGACAACATGAATCACTGACAGTTCAACCTTCAACAGGCTTGGAGGGCAATGACTATGTCAATTTCATGTCCTCTTGAAGTTCCAATGTTTCCCAAATTAGTCTGATGATAAGAATTATTGGGATGTTAAACTCTGAGATTCACCATTATTTCCTGATGCAAAATCTTGAGGCAAAGCCTAAGAAGAACCCGCACATCTCAGAGCACCCCCGACATTTCTTATTATTAGACACGATGAGGAAATATTAAACTCTTCCCCCAGTAAATCAGACAATTATTCCCATTGTGGTCAGTGAGAATTACCAGAACCTTCTCAAAATAGAATGTTTTAGATGTCCCTCAAGTGAAAATGTGGGAACCCCTCATTTACATTATTTTCCTTAATGTTTCTACTAACCCAGATAGTCCACTAAGAAGTCTATTTATTGATGTGGAATTTGGAGAATCAAAGGTATTCAAGAGGCATTTACACCACTAGATGTAGTATCTATAGTTTTCTAAAATTTTACTGCCTGGCAGACAAGGTTACAAATTTTATTCTTCTATATAAAAAGTATATATAAAAGATTGTACAGCTGGAATTTTTTTTTTTTTTTTTTTTGTCCTTTTTGAGACCGGCCGCACTGCGCTCGTGAGCGCTGTGAGCACACCGGTCATCCCTATATAGGATCTGAACCCGCGGTGGGAGCACTCCCGCGCTCCGAGCCCCGCACTCTCCCCAGTGCGCCACGGGCTCGGCCCTACAGCTGGAATTTTTTGAGGTAAACATATATACAAATACACAGAGTGGGGAATGAAATGGATAACTTACTTGATCTCTGGTTTTTAATGAAAAATAACTTTAGTCTTTCTTTGAATGTGTTTTCATTCATATAGAATTCAACTTGTACCCTGCAAATAGAAAATAAAAACATATAAATTTTATGCAAGTTCAATCACATCTTTATTTTTATGAAGATCAATAAATATAAACCGATTTTATACCTATCAAATGACCCTGAATGCAAATATATAAGAAAATAAATTATTGGATTTAATGCATTAAGTGTTTGAGTGAATTGCCCTCCATAGAATATGAGAATTTAGTAAAATATTATTTTTAAGAGATGCAGGTACTTTCTAATTTAAAAAATATAGTCTGTTTCAAACATCATATCTAGTAAATGTCAATTACCTGTAGTGATGAATGTAATAAGTGGTATGGATGACTCAAAACTGAAATAATGCAAATGTCTTTAATATTTGTCTTTGGAATGATTTTGAGTCAGGGTTTTTCCAATTTTTTCTCCCTGTTGTAAAAATCAACATTATGCTTGCAAAATTCAGTTTGGGAAACAGCGCCCCAGATATACTGAATCAGAATCTTAAAGGGCAGGGCCTGAAAATCTATTCTTTACAAGCCCTTCATTCCACCTGGAGCCTATTTGGAACACCCCATTATGTAACACTGATCTTCTTATTTAGTTATTAAAATGTATATGGGTAAGCACAGGAGTGCTAGTAGCAGATAGAATGTTAAAGTTACCATAGATAGATTATAAACCAGGTAACTCAATTAAGAGACTAAATATTATATATTTAACCCACTATAAAATGATATCAACAGTCTGAAAAAATAGTACTGTTCTAATATATGCATTTGCTTTCTCTCAATTCTAGCAAACTGTCTCTCATGTGATAGAGTGTAGTTAATGCTTTCAAAGTACTGAGTGAAAAGAGAAATTCTGTTCAGTGCATGGTGACTTGTTAATAACCATCAATTTTTAAATTAGTCTCAAACACATTTATTATAACTTAGGATTCCAAAAATAGCTAATAAAGCATTTTACATTTACACAAACAACAAAGATTTAATTTCATTTTTCCTAATATCACAACATTTTGAAGATGTAATCTATGTAAACTATGCAGGGTTTTCTTTTTTCACTTTTTATTTGTTTTTAGTAAGACTACATACTTGAAAAAAAACTGGGAGAAAGAAATTTATATATAAAGATGCTCATATATTAGAGAAATATTTCACTCCTATATTATAATCTCTCTACTATTCTGTATATATTCAAGAAGACCCCTAATGAGTGAAAAAGCAGTCTGCTGTGCAGAAAAGCAAAAGGGCTCTTTTAATCAATCACAAGTCAAGTTCTATGTGATACCTTCTAAAAGACTTGAATACTCTCTTTTTTTTTTTTTGTCTTTTGACTTTTTTTCCGTGTCCGGCAACGGAGCGCAACCCTCAGTGTCGCCCCCGTACCGGACCGGGGACCGGCAACGGGATCGCAACCCTCGGCGTTGCTCCCGCGCCTCGCTCAGCCAGTGAGTGGGAACCGGTCCGTATGTGGGATCCGAACCCTCGGGCGGGAGTGCCGCCGCGCTTCCCAAGCGGCGCACTTATCCAGTGCGCCACCGGGCCGGCCCCTTGAATACTCTCTTTTATCTCTTCTCCCTAAAGAAAATATTTCCGTCCACAAACAATTTTTAATTCCTTTTCATCATTTCTTACTTATTTCCTTTTTTCTTTACCTTGCGTGTAAAATGGGAAAAGAAACAGAAAGCAAGATTCTCTTTATTTGATCATTTCTCCAGAAAGAAGCCACAAAAATTGCCATATCTTCCAGCAGAACTCTTCCATGTGCATGCCTGTACATGTGCTCACAACCCTACAAACCTGTACATTCACACATGCTGCAAAAGTCCATGCACACACGCACAGAAACAAAACTCCATTAGTATCTTGGAAATCCATCATTGCATCTGTTTCCCTAGTTTATCAAATGAAAAGTCAGTTTGTTTTAAATAAAGTAACTAATACTGATATCAAGCTGAATTAGTTAAAATTTGTCATGGATACAAAAGCAAATTTGAGAGGACATGTGGCTATTACACAAGTAATTCAGCAAAGGACCTGCAGATTTGCTTCCTAGAATTATCAAATTTATAAGAATATGAGTCCAGTCTTCAAATAATATCTGGAGTTAAGTCCTTAATACACAACAGAGGAGCATTTTTTAACTAAAATGAGATCATCTAAAGCTTTAATCAAAGTAATGAGGGATCTGAAAGACATATCACATGAGGAAAAGCACAAAGAACTGGAAATGTTTAATAAATATGAAGAGTTAGGAGTCACACAACAGTTGTCTTGAAATGTTGAAGTGGCCAAAATTATTAAAATGAGATGACTGATAATGTGATATTCTATTAAATAGAACTAATAATATGGAAATATGAGAATTATGAATGAGAATTATCCAATTTTGAAGTGGCCATTATTGTGGAGTGGAGAGCTCTCCAATACATAAAAATGTGCCAAAGACTGGATAACAGCTTGCAGGCCGCTATTTTTTTTTTCCTGAGAATAAAGACAATTTTGCATGTTGTCACATGTCTCAAATGACTTCCATAAGCCATCTAATTATAAAATTCTGTGATATAAAACTCTGAATGAATCTAGTGATCTCTCTGAGTCAATATTAACATTGAGGAAGGTGGATGATATCAAAGCATGAATTGATATGAATGCTTTTTAAAGCTAAAGCTAAAAAAAAAAATCAGACAAATCACTTTTGATTCATGTCTTCTCTTAGGTACAGAAAAACATCCTTTAGGCTTGCTACTTATAGTACAGAGTGCAGCTTTCTTTTATTTGATCTAATGACAATTCTTCCCGGAATCTAGGCAGGTTAGCGATAGTTGTTACACTTTCAGGACCTCCCTCAGCACCATACGGTTTTCCAGCACTCAGGAATTTAGTACAAAATTTAGTGTTTCTCCTTCCCAACATTTATCGTGATTTTAACTGATTTTAAGTATTCTCTCAGCATTTCCTTTTCCAGACTGAAATGTGCTTTTCCTTCTTTCCTTCCTTCCCTCTTAATTTCCTTCTTTCATTTCTTCTGACCTACCTCCCTCCATCTAACTTTATCCAAATTTACTCCCATCTAGCAGGTCATATTATTATACTCTTTCTGGACCTTTGAAAAACACACTCGGGCAAATCTGTTCTCATCACTTCTTAAAATGTCATTTCTATCACATGTTGATTCTAAAGATAAAATTTAGAATCATTTTGTTACATTTATTCTAATACAATAATAATGATTATACTTACCAAAAAATAAATTGGAATTGCAATCATTACTAGATGGTATCTTCTATGAAATATGCTCTCATTGTTTAATAGTGTTGTTTTGATGATGGTCAATGGTGTTTTACTATTTTATTTCGGTAGATAGGATATATTCTTTAGGATGCTTCTGGGTATTTTATTATTTTGGTTGGTATTTTCAAAATGTTTTGCTCCAATCTTTAACTTTTTGTCATTAATATTATAAATAACTACCATGATTATGTCTTTTGGAAATATTGCCCAATATTCCTACATACATTTTAATGTTCTTGTCTTATTACATTGACTAGCACCTTTAAGGGGAAAAAAAAGTTGTTTTTGTAATAGCAAACTACTCGGGTAATGTACTGCTGGATTCATTTTCCTATACTTTTTAGGTGTTTTTCTTCTATAGTCATAACTAAGGTTCATATGCTCCTTCTTTAGAGGATTCTAATATGTTCAAATACGAATTGAAAAACTCTCCAGATTTTTCTATGCTCCAGAACAATTTTAAATACTACAGATTTTTTTTGTATAACCATCATTAATTTTCTCTAACAATGTCAACTGCATTAATGTTGATTTTAATTTGTACTTTTTTTTCATTTTTCTCTTATTCTGTTGCACTGGTACTTGAATTTTGTGTAAAAATCACCCAGGATCTTGTTAAAATGAAATTTCCCTGTTTTAATAACTTTCTTATTCAATAACTTTAAAGTAGAACTCATTATTTTAATGACACAAAACAATAATTCTGTTCCAGATTGTTAGTGTACTATTCTTGCAGAAATACTATTTTTCTCCTATTGTGTGCTATTGCCTTGAAATCTGTTTAACATGCCAAACTTGTGCAGACATTCTCTTTTGGAAATTATAGCAGATACAGATCACTATCAAAGGGAGATTCTTCTTCTGTGTCTACTTGGTGCTACCTGGTGCTATTTCGGTATTCTCTCCCTCTGATTCTACAATACTGGTCATTGGAGTTCACGTATAATATTTTTATTACTGTACTCATCTCAAACAAGGCATTATTTGCCTGGACCTTCTGGTCTCAGCAGGCAGGTTCAATGGATGCATAATAATCCTGCTCTCTATCTGTTGCTGGTTTTCCTTTTAAAAAAATCTACATCCAGATAGCAAGTTAATACACATAGCTCCCAGTACAACTCCCATTTCTAAGAACTTTTCACCTGGAGTCATTTCTGTACTTCTAGATTGTGGTATCCTCCTAATTTTGTGCTTGGTGCTCTCAGATGGGTAAGGAGAAAAATGTAAAAATCACTCCATGTACTATGGCCAAGGTTCTCTCACTCTACTCTCACTACTAGCAAACCCTAAGATGGGATTACACTTATGAAAATTACACCTTTTTAAATGTGATACATTACTCTAAATTTACCCCTATTTTCTCTAAAGTCATTGTTATGGGTTAAATTACGTCCCCCCAAAAGATATGTTGAACTCCTATCTTCCAGTACCTCAAAATGTAACGATATTCGGGAATAAGGTCATTGCAGATATAATTAGTTAAATTAAGATAATAGGGTCATTGCACATATAATTAGTTAAATTAAGATAAGGTCATATTGGAGTAGAATGTGTCCTTAATCTGATATAACTTTATAAAAAGAGAGAAACTTGGATGGAGACACAGACACAGAAGAAAGATGGCCATGTGAAGACAGAGGCAGAGACTGAAGTTATACTGCCACAATTCAAGGAAGATCTGGGATTACAGAAGGTGAAAAGGGCAAAGCAGGATAGGATCCTC